GGGTGTCTTGTGCTATCGGAGATCCCAGTCTGGGAACGCTTCCCACCCAATTTCTTCCCAGACCCTCTGCCATTTGCTATGTGGGGCTGTAGCGGTTCTTGTGGGCCCTCACCAGTTGGATGAAGGTCTCCAGCATGCAGACTCCTGAGTCCTCCATTTTGTTCATGGGCCTGAGCTTGCTAGGAGGGGGAGACCAGCTTTTAGAAAAAAAAATGTGCAAAAAGAAAAAAATCAAAAAAGCTTGTTGGCACAAAAAAAGCTTCAAAATTGCCTGAAAACACCCAAAAAGGTGAATAGGGTGTAGTCTGTACTATACCTTTGTTTCTTTTTATTTACTCTTTCCATAAAGCAGAACTCCTGCCAAAGACAGCAAGATAAAATGAATAGGCTATGAAAAGATTTTATAACAAACAACTTTTGCTGCAATATTCACTTTCAGTCCAGAGATTTCTCCTTTTTTCTCCTGCAAGCTGTCCTCGGTCCGATGGCCATCATCATTTAACCCACTTTCCCTGAGGCCAGGTTGTCCTGAACCCACCCCAGCCTGTGACTGGACAGTGAAAAGAGAAGCAGCACAATGATGAGCTCATCTCTCTGTCACCCTCTCCTCCTGTCAGTATTCGTCTTGTCACCACTGATTGTCCTCTTGTACTGCTATTTCCTTTCACACTCCAGCCCCGCTATACAGGATTTGGAAGAGGGTGATATCGAGTCAAACTCAGGTACTTACATTGCTTGCATTGAAAAAATATATTTCATGATGTATTTTAATAATTACAGAGCTGTGTTAATTTGTGTCATTTACATCTGGCTACAATTTAGCTTTACCGTACACACTTCCCCCGTACTCCAAGCAACTCCTAAAATGAAATTCTGCTGTAGACATAAAGCTGCACTTAGACTTGCTTCCCTAAACATAAATGGTGGCCTTGTGTGTCCGTTCCTGCTTAGCCTATATCTCTCTCTCCCCCTTCTCTCTCCCCGCTCTCTCTCTCTCCTCTTCTCTCTCTCTCTCTTCTCTCTCTCTCCTCTCTCCCCTTCTCTCTCGCTCTCCCCCTCTCTTCTCCCTCTCCTCTTGTCTTCTCTCTCTCTCTCCCCTCTCCCCCCTTCTTCTCTCTCCCCCTTCTCTCCCCCCCTCTTCTCTCTCTCTCTTTCTATTCACACTTTCTAATTGTGACCATTATCACTGAAAGTGAAAGAAAATACCAAATTGTGGGATGTCATCAGAACAGGAACAGATGGGAAATCTTCCAAAGTGGACACTGGTTCTGGTGGCCCTGCTGACCACAGGGATTTTTCTTAATTTGTAGGATTTCCTCTCACTTCCTGTTGTGGCTATGGGATAGGAAGTGAAGGGGAACACAGAATCCCCCCCCCCCCCCCCCCCGCAAAAATACGCGGAGTAGATGAATATCAGTTTGTGTGTCTCTTACTAATAGGAGGCGGCATGAGATGGAAAATCAGGACATTAGACCGATGAGCTGGTGGTTGATATTATATAACCAATACCAGGTACCGCACCATGTTATAATATCACATGACCCATAAGGTGCGGGGATGGTGCTCTGCAGTGTAAGGTATATCCAGCATATGGGAATCATGGCCTCTGGTACATGTTTGGAATGGAAAGTATCTGGCATACAAGAACACTTTGTCCTCAGTGAGTGTAATCCAGAGACTCGCACCAACAACAGTGCAAATGTGATGTCTGGAAATCCTAAATAAAGGGATGGACCAATCTAGCCATTACCCCGTGCATCTGACGGCATTACAGGTCATGGGAACATATTCTCCAAATCAGCGGGTGTACACATTTTATATTATTGTTGTTGTTGTTATTGTACAGGATTCACAAAGTAAAGGGAGACATTATAGCTACAATACAATACAGGAGGATTAGGAGGGCCCTGCCCCCGAGAACTTACGTTCTAAAAGGATAGACTTTTTAAAGTGTCCTGGATCCTTCAGGACAGTCTCAGGATTTGGGGTAATGTTACACAGGATCCAGGACACTTGGAGGAATGGCAACCAGGTGTCAAGTACCCAAAGGCTTTGTGTTCCAGCACCTGGCACTGTAGATCCCAGTAGAATGTTCTCCAACTGACACCAATGATGCTGCTTATTTTTCTCACTGACACCAACGGTGGGGCTTATTTTACCCCACTGACACCAACGGTGGGGCTTATTTTATCCCACTGACACCAATGATGGGGCTTATTTTATCCCACTGACACCAACGGTGGGGCTTATTTTATCCCACTGACACCAATGATGGGGCGTATTTTATCCCACTGACACCAACGGTGGGGCTTATTTTATCCCACTGACACCAATGATGGGGCGTATTTGATCCCACTGACACCAACGGTGGGGCTTATTTTATCCCACTGACACCAATGATGGGGCGTATTTTATCCCACTGACACCAATGATGTTTTTTTTTATCCCACTGACACCAATGATGGGGCTTATTTTATACCACTGACACCAACGGTGGGGCTTATTTTATCCCACTGACACCAATGATGGGGCTTATTTTATCCCACTGACACCAACGATGGGTCTTATTCTATCCAAGTGACACTAACGATGGGGCTTTTCTTTACTCCCGCTGACATCAACAATGGTGCTTATTTTATTTTCACTTTGTCTGCAGTGTACCACCAGGTCTTATTTTGTCTATAACATACCAAAGCATAGGTGGAAAGATGCGGCACTACAAGTCATACGCCATAAAGCCACACCACTATAGTGGCCATTCCCTCTTGCATCTGGCAGGCGGTACGCTTCATACCTCACATTTTGCATCTTGGAGCACCCAAAGCCTTTGTGTTCCTGCACCTGGCACTGTAGATCACAATAGAATGTTCTCCTGCTTGCTAGTCACAGTTTAGTTTCAGCCAGCCAAGGGGCAGAGCAGTAGCACAGGATTGTGCGGCTAGGTAAGTATCTGTTGATCACCAGTGCTTATTCTTGCTGCCACTGACACACACCAATGATTTGGGGTTATTTTCCTCCTACAGTCACCACGATGGATTTTTTTTTTTTTTAGCCCACTGACACCAACAATGATCTTATTTTATCCCACTGACACCAACAATTATCTTATTTTATCCCACTGACACCAACAATTATCTTATTTTATCCCACTGACACCATCAATGGGGTTTATTGTTCCCACTGACACCAACGACAGGGCTTATTTTATACCACTGACACCAGCAATGGGGCTTATTTTATACCACTGACACCAACGATGGGGGCTTATTTTACCTAAATAACACCATGGGATGATACTTATATAGGTGTGGCTTATTTTATCCCACTGACACTAACAGTAGGTCTTATTGCCTGCACAGAGTCCTGACCTCAACCCGATAGAACACCTTTGGGATGAATTTGAGGGTAGACTGTGAGCCCGGCCTTCTCGTCCAACATCAATAACTGACCTCACAAATGCGCTTCTGGAAGAATGGTCAAACATTCCCATAGACACACTCCTAAACCTTGTGGATTCCTTCCCAGAAGAGTTGAAGCTGTTATAGCAGCAAAGGGTGGGCCAACTTAATTTTGAACCCTACGGACTAAGACTGGGATGTAAAGGCCCGGCGTCCCAATACTTTTGGCAATATAGTGTACCAAAGCATAGAAGGAAAGCTGCGGCACTACAAGTCATATGCCATAAAGCCACACCACTATATTGGCCATTCCCACTTGCATCTGGCAGGCAGTGCACTTCATACCTCACATTTTGCTTCTTGGATCGTTTAAGGCATCCCCCTTAGTGGTTTAGTAAAGCTGGGGAATGGTTGTGTCTTACTATTCCTCTTGTATTATGTTTGAAATTCTGTTTACTGGTTGGTAACAACTGCAAATCTGCCTAAATTCAAGTAAAACAACTCATCTTCTTGCCCCCCTTCCTCCCCACTTCCTCCTCTTTGGCAAGCATGTAGCGCCATGATGGAATACGGGTACTTAAAGGTTCATTTTGCCAGTTTTGTAATGTTACATTAAAGTACAGATTTTTTGAAAAAGCCTTCAATTTATTTGTAAAAAAACCTTCTCCATACTTGGTACCAGAAGTATACTTTTAGTGCTCTTATAAAGGTGACAAATCACAGAATTAAATGTGCACCTTCACATGAGCAGATTGCAGAATTATAAACTAGTTTAGTTCCCAAATGAAAGAAAAAATGAGATGATCCCAATGTTGATGAAAACCTGGTTTAACTATGCTCATTATGACTAAATAACATTGCCTAATGAGACGTGCCCACTTTAGATAAACCATGACAACTCTTCAACATCCATCCACCCACATGGACCGAAAGGTGGCAACCCTAGTATGTGTGTATGTTATAGACATAAGGCCATACACATATAGTCTGAATGAGAGAAAAATGGCTCAGTTCGCCCTTCTCCATGCCAAAACAGCATTGATGGATGAATCTCCCCTGCCGTCTGTTGTATTCAGACAGCTGTGACACCATTGGTTGCTAGGATGCAGGCGGGTGCACCGTAACAGCCAATGGCCCTGTGTGGCTGGGAGCACCAATCTCTAAGCCACTGTTTTACCCCTCAGTGCTGTGTTGTCTGGATCAGCTTTTACAAAGGCAAACAGCCAAATTCACAGCTAAAATACAGTATATAGGTAAGAAGTAGACATGTGCACAACAAAAAAATTTGTTCCCAGACGAAACAAATGAAAACAAAAAACTTTTTCATTTGTTCCGTCAAAGGAACACATTTTTATGTTGTTTCGGATTCAGGGGCAAGGAGCCTCCGAATCCGAAACCTCACACTGAACCTGGAGAACAAGAGGTGGTCATACCAAGATGGCTGCGCCCGCATGTTAGAGCGCTGCCATCTTGGTATATACCAAGATCTACTCCAAAATGGCGGCGGGCATGCGCAGGACACGCCGGCGGCCAATATGGCCGCCGGCACGCTCTGAAGACGAATTTATGTATGCCTGAATATCGTTTTAGTATTTTCGGGCATACATTAAATTCGTTATTTCGGATTTGGAGGAACCACCGAATCAACTGTTCTTTGTTGATTTGCAGGTTCGTCCGAATCTGAATGCACATGTCTAGTAAGAAGCCAGTTTTCTAATCCAGACATTCTGGTCAGACAGCACAGCCAGGATCTGACCTCACTTTTCCCTGATGCACCTCAAATAATACAACATGGTCGAGGATTACGTCCGACCTGTTATTGGATAATGAATGAGCAGCAGCACACTGATCAGATCAACCATGAGCTCTCTCCTTCAATCAACCAGCTCCCTGTGTACTGTGCAATGTATTAAATCCTGATTGGCTTACAGTACTACACCTTCCTCTGTGCAACTAAAG